AGTTGACAAAATTTTAATATCTCTCGCAAGAAACAAGACAATTGAGCTCAAATTCGATGTATAAGGTGGGCTTATAATGGAGGAATTGGCGTTATTCTAACTATCTGGATTTTTCGAAGTTCAAAACTCAAAACTAAGAATTCTTGCTTCTTCTAAANCCANGGCCTACGTTTTATTGAATACAGTATATTTTGAAGAAAAAATTGATGACGCTTTCAGGAGTCGTATCTTTTCAGATAGATATTGATTTTTCGTAAAAGTTGTCAACTGCAAAAATGGAGCTCTATTTTTGTTCTATGTTTTCTGAAATTTTCAGAACAATCCGAAACTCTTGACCTACTTTTTGAGAGCTTTAAATTTTGCCATTTATCATTTGGAAATGCGAAATAATCAATTTAAAAAAAACCAATAAATTAAATAAAAAACTTCTTTTTCGCCAATGAGCTAAAATAAGGACTAATAGACTACTATTATTAATACGTTTTTTTTTAACTTTGATGATATGAATATAAGAAATACAGAATTTTCTTCGGATTTCGTGTACTGGATTAGCCAGACAAATCTAGTCTGTTGATCTCTTTCGCCACGTAGAGGCTCAGTACATAGAAAGGGAAAATGGTTTTGTACCGGGGAAAAAACCAACCAAAAACCCCATTGTCCTCAGTCTAATCAGTATTCGCAGTATGAGTCCTGTTCTAGTGATAAGCTCTTCCAGTATGAACCGAAGTCCAACTGACCGATCAGACCAACTAGCCCATTACCCAACTGGCCTACTTCACAAACGTCGAACACCTAAAATGAATTTTTTGCCCGTATTGGGAGAAAAGGGGGCGGGGCTTAGCCCACCTGCACCTGGCCTAATCCTTCCCGTGGGAAACACCGCCCCCTTTTCAAACGTTTTAGGTATTGTTATCGTCATCAGATGAGTAATTAGGGAGCAATAAAACAACATTGTGAGTGATGTTTTGACATGCATGTGACAAGGTAAAGAGGAAAAGACAATAGATGACCTAAATCGCATCTTTTGACTCTTGAATATCGATCGGGGACCATGAAGGAACACCGCCAAGGATTTTCCGCCAACTAACAATCCCTGGAGAGAGCACAATTTTCTATACTTTCTAGATCATTTTTTCTACTAATTTCGTCTTTTGACATTAAGAAAATTTTAAAATTTCGGAAAAAAAACAATTTCAATACTTTAAATTTTTTCTAATAACAAGAAATATTTCGATTATTTTTGGTTTTGAAGAAAAAAGAGGAGAAACAGGGATAACAAAAAAAATCACTAAAAATTCTAGAATAACTACTACTCGAATAGGAAAAAACATTGGAAAAAAGGAGGACCGTAATCAATGAAAAAGGCGGGAAATTCAAAAAAAAATAGAGGAAAAATTAGGATTCTGCCGCTTTTTTCTTCGGGTTCTCACTCGTTTCCTCGCTATTTGGCTCTTCTTTTTCCACTGGTGGTTGTTGGGGTTTATCTGAAAATTTCAACTAATTTTTAGCTAAAAATTGGTCTAGAATCCTCAATTTTCACTCAATTTTTCGAATTTTCATATCAAAATGTTCCCAAAAAATTACCCGAAAATTTTCCGCTTAATTTTGCCTAAAAATCCCTCGTTTTCTTGATTTTCGTCATCGATAGTTTCCGCTTTTTCCACCACCGGCTCTTTGCGTTTTTTGTGGTTTTGCTCTGATGCACCTAAAATGTTTTTAAAGTTTTTTTTCTTCAAAAAAATCCAGAAAATTCTATTGGAAATTTCCAGAGAATTCTGAACTTTTACAGGTAAAAATTGGGTTTTTAGAGGCATCAGAAGGAATGCAAAACAGTTAAAAAACGAGAAATTTATGAAATTAAAAAAAAATTTTTACGTGACCTATTTTTTTCTAGGTCACGGCCCGGTTTTTTCTAGTTTTTTTCTAGGTCATGACCAAGTTTTTTCTAGGTCGTGACCTAATTTCCTCTAGGTCATGACCAAGTTTTTTCTAGGTCGTGACCTAATTTCCTCTAGGTCGTGGCCTAGTTTTTTTTCTAGGTCATGACCTAGTTTTTTTTTCTAGGTCGTGACCTAGTATTTTTCTAGGCCATGACCTAATTTTTCTAGGTTATGTCCTAGTTTTTTTCTAGGTTATGCTCTAGTTTTTTTCTGGGTTATGTCCTAGTTTTTTTCTAGGTTATGCTCTAGTTTTTTTCTGGGTTATGTCCTAGTTTTTTTCTGGGTCATGACTTAGTTTTTCTAGGTCGTGACCTAATTTCTTCTAGGTCATGACCTAGTTTTTTCTAGGTTATGAACTACATTGTCTGGGTCGTGACCTAATTTCCTCTAGGTCGTGGCCTAGTTTTTTTCTGGGTTATGACCTAGTTTTTTTCTGGGTTATGACCTAGTTTTTTTCTGGGTTAGGACCTAGTTTTTTTCTGGGTCATGACTTAGTTTTTCTAGGTCGTGACCCACTTTCTGCTAGGTCATGACCTAGTTTTTTCTAGGTTATGACCTACATTGTCTGGGTCGTGACCTAATTTTTTCTAGGTCGCGACCTAGTTTTTTTCTAGGTCATTATCGGAATTTTGCACGTAACTTTTTGATTCGAAAATTGTTTTTTCTTGTCAATTTTGACGAAAATTCTCGCTTATTTTTGGTCGATTATTTTCAAGATTTCAGCCCAGATATTTTCAGATTTTCTGAAATTTTTTTTGAAATTTTTCTCTCTTACCTTCCTTCTTCGTCTTCTTCTCCTCCTCTGTCTTTTTCTCCGTTGACGATTTTTCCACATTTTCCAGTCCTTTAATCGTTCCATCCTTCAGTTTTTCCGTCTCCGCCCATGCGAGCATTATTGCCTTCTGTTCGGCTGTCAAATATTTCGGCACCGCGACTTTGATGTGCATGTATTGATCACCGTGGCCTATTGAGTGTAGTCGTTTGACTCCTTTACCGGTTAATCTGGAAAAACAATGCTTTTAAAATGGCTTAAAAACGAAAATTTTTAGCTTTTTTTTCGATTTTTCGCTTAATTAGAACTATTTTTGACACAATTCACTAAAAAAATAAGTTGAAAATGGTTCATTTTGACCTAGTTTTCCAGCTCAAACTACTCAAAATCCCTACATTTTCTTCTAATTTCCCCCACCTCATTTTGGTATGACTACCAGTTCCGGCTGGAATATGAACATAGGTGTCTCCATTGATTCCAGGTACTTTAACAGTTCCACCGAGTACCGCCTGTGCTAATGAGATCTCCACATCACAATGAATATCGTCCTTTTCTCGACGGAATTTCAGCGACGGTGCCACGTTGAACCGAACGAAGACCTGATTTTTGCCAACTTGGAATTTCAAACTGTCACCGTTATTCGTGCCAGCTGGAACGTTGAAGGACACTTGACGACGTTGCACCGTCTGACCTTCTCCTTCACATTCTTGGCAGGGATTCTGGAAAAGATCAATTTTAAGCATTTTTTAAAGACCCTCACCAACCTTATTATAATGTCCACTACCTCGACATCTATTACACGTCGTCTGATAGAAGAATCCGCCCTGAAGACGTTGGGAAATCGCTCCAGTACCGTTACAATACGGGCACGTCGTCTTTTTGAATCCTGGCTCGACTTGTGATCCGTGACACTTTAGACAATCCTCGACAACGTTGACGAATACATTTTTAGTGGCTCCTCGAACGGCTTCTTCGAATGAAATATCCATTACCATCTCTTGAGCAGCCGAATGGCCAAATGCCGATTGGGCAAAGTTGTCGAAGTTGAAACCTCCCTGAAAATAGTGATTTTGGAAAGAAAATATATAGAATTTCAAAATAGCTAAAAATAAGGACTGAAAATAGCCAGAACCCTGTAAATGGAAGCTACAAAATGGCATTATGAATGGTCAGAAAACAGATGAAATCAGCCAAAAATGAAGCTTAGAAATCGATTTTTGAAGGGAAAATATAACGTTTTATAGCTTTTTTCATTGTTTTATGAGCCAGGAAAAATAAAAATTTTGAAAAAAAAATTCGATAACAATAGATTTTCTGGAGGCATAAAAAATCGAAACTATATATTTTTTCCGAAAAAAAAACACTTCCTGCATCTTTTATATGGCGTTTTCCTTGATTTTCAATTTTAAAAAACCTCAAAAACTAACCATTCCACCCCCTCCAGCTCCTCCTCCGAACGCTCGTCTAAAGATCTCATTAACATCGACATTTCCATGATAATGGAATCCACCGCCCGGAGCTCCGCCCCTTCCAGCAGCCCCACCACCACTACCAAACGAATCGTATTCTTGACGCTTTGAATCATCGGAGAGGACCTGGAATATTCTTAATTCAAGTTTTTATAAAAATTGAAAAATTACTTCATAAGCCTCAGAAATCTCCTGGAATTTCGTCTGCGCCTCTTTCGTTTTGTTCACATCCGGATGGTATTTTTTGGCAAGCTGAAAACCTCTCTTTTAGCACGAAAAACTAAAAAATTTATTCAGGTTTTACTTGAAAATACGCCTTTTTAATGGATTTTGCATCAGCCTTCTTGTCAACGCCCAGCGTTTTATAGTAGTCCTCCTTTGACAATTGTTGTGTTGTGTGGAGTTGTGCTAAACATTAAATCATTGGAAAACGGGAAAAAATCAAGTAAAAATACAGAAAAACAAGTTAAAAATTACCATTTTTCACTGCTGATGTTGTCGGCGCCAGTAGAGGCACTGCACGGTGGACTATGCCAGCAGTTCGGTTTAAAACGAACATTTAGAGCACCCTGAATTCAAAAATGAAGGAAAATAATTTTTTTAATCAGGGAAAAGTTAGAAAAACGAAAAATATCCCGAAAAAAATTATTTTTTTTAGAAAAGTGTGCAAACACCGCGGCGCAAAGTTACACAGTGGGATTTCGGAGCATCGTTGTTTTTTTTTTATTTTCAAGAGGGAAACTTGAATTTCGTCATATTTCGAAGATTTTTCATTGAGTTTTTCGAAAAAGATGCTAACTTTCAATGACAACAAGGCCGGCATGAGCGGTTTGGACAAGGAAAAAATCACAAAAGTTATCGAAGAGAACACCTCGGCCTCCTATTCGGAATTTTCCAAGAAACAACAGTCTAGAATTGAGGAAAAAGTGCTGGAAATCAAGAATCGGTTGAGTACAGCGACGAAAGAAGAACGCCAAGGTGCTGAGCACTTGATGAAAAATGTGGAAACAAAACTAGAAAGTCAGCGAGATTTGAGTCGAGACTGTGTCTGTATAGATATGGATGCCTATTTCGCGGCTGTTGAAATGCGAGATGATCCGAAATTACGGACGATTCCGATGGCCGTTGGATCGGCAGCAATGCTGGTGATTTTTGGATTTTTTCACTAAAAAATCTCAAGTTTACCATTCCAGAGCACCTCGAACTACTTGGCTCGTCGATTCGGTGTTCGTGCCGGGATGCCTGGTTTTATTTCTAAGAAATTGTGTCCAAATCTAACATTAGTGCCTGGGAATTATACAAAATATTCGAAAATTTCCCGCCAATTCTCGGAAATTTTCGCCGAATACGATGGAGATGTGGGGATGATGTCGTTGGATGAGGCGTATATTGATTTGACTGATTATGTCGCTGCGAGAACGGAAAAAAGTATTTAAAAATCGGAAAATCGAACTCAAAACCCTAATTTTGAGCTAAAAATCCCAAATTCTGACCTCTACAATACCCAAGAAAAGGCAGTAAACCCCTGCTTTGAACACTTGAAAATCAGATTAACTGACCTAAAAATCCCAATTTCTGAGCCGAAAATTCAAATTTCAGACATTAAAATTCTGACTTTTAATCTGAAAAACTCTAATTTTCAATTGAACAATTTCAAGAAAATTCTGAAAATTCTGAAATTTTGAAAAATGGAAAATTCCGGAAATTCAATCTTTTAAAAGTAAAAATCTCAATTTTCAACTGAAAATCCTTTTTCAGGAACCCTGAAACGACACCGGTACGGTGGTGATTGTCCATGCTGGTTGCCACGTGTCCCAGATTCAGAATCTCCAGAATACTTAGATTCAGAAGAATCCGAATGCCCAAAATGCTCGAAAACCCGAAAAATCTACTATGATGACGTGGAATTTGGAATCGGAAGAGAGGAAATCGTTCGGGAAATTCGATTTCGTGTTGAGCAAAAGACTGGGCTAACGTGCTCGGCTGGAATTGCAGCCAATTTTATGTTGGCTAAAATTTGCTCGGATTTTAATAAGCCAAATGGACAATATGTGCTAGAGAATGATCGGGAGAAGATTCTCGAATTTTTGAGAGATTTGCCGATTCGAAAAGTGAGAAAATTGAGGAGAATTATAGGGAAAAAGCTGAAATTTTCGAAAAAATTTCAAAATGTTTTTTTGAAAATTCAAAAAATTCTTAAAAATCGATAAATTCGAAATTCTGAAAATCTCGGAAATTCTGGAATTTCCAAAAGCTTCCAAAATCGAAAATTCTAGAAATTTTAACAATCCGAAATTTTTGAAAACTCTGGAAACGCTTAAAATTGAACAACTTATAATTCTGGAAAATGTCGAAAATTGAAAATTCCCGGAATTTCAAAAAAATCAAATTTTCAAATTTCCCGCCCATTTTCCCTATCCTTTTCCAGGTCGGTGGCATCGGACGGGTCTCTGAAGCTCATCTCCAATCCATGGACATCCGAACCGTTGGCGATATGCTTCAGAAGGCGTCGCTCTTCCCATTATGCTTCTCACAACTGACTCAGGAATCTTTTTTGAGGTAGAATTCAGAAAAAGCGCGCTCCATTGAACAAAAATTCACATTTTTAAAATTTTCAACAAAAAAAAGCTAAAAATCCTCCACTGAACAAAATTGAATTTTTGAAAATTTTCAAAAATTCGAATTTTCCAGAACCGCCCTAGGCCTTCCAGGCCGCCCATCTTCATCGGATCCCCGCCGGAAAAGTATTTCGGTGGAGCGCACATTTTCACCAACTGCGGATTTCAAAATTCTGCTTCTAGAACATTCGGAAATCTGCCGAATGTTGGAAGAGGACATCCGGAAATCCGGAGTGACAGGAGGAAAAACGATAACATTGAAACTGAAATTATCGTCGTTCGACGTGCTAACCAGGTCGTTGACGCCTTCTGAAGCCGTGACGACGTTGGAGGATATCCAGGTTTTTGGATTTTTGAATCTCTAAATTTTTGAAATTTTCGAATTTCAGAAATTCTCTCTGGAGCTTCTGGAAAAAGAACGTGGCAAGGAGATTCGTCTTCTAGGCGTTCGCCTGTCGCAGCTGGTGTTCGAGGAGGAGAAAAAGAGCAAAACGGTAAAAAAGTGGCTTGGCGGGAATTTGAAAAATTGAAATTTTGGAACTTTTGAACATTGAAAATTGAAATATCTAGAAATCTCGAAAATGGAAAATTCGAAAATTTAAAAAAAATCGGAAAGTGCCGAAAATTGAAAATTTTGGAAATTTTAAAAATTCTGAAAATTTCGAAAGTTCTGGAAATTACGAGAATTCAGAAATTAAAAATAATCGAAATTCTAACAAATTCTGGATATTTCGAAAATTAAAAACCTTGAAAATTTAAAATTCTGAAAAATTCGAAAATTCTGAAAAATTCGAAAATTCTGGAAAATTCGAAAATTCTGGAAAATTTTAAAAATTCTTGGAGTTAAAAAAGTTCTTGAAATTAAAAAAAATTTTGAAAATTCTGGATAATTCGAAAATTCTGGAATTTTCGGAATTTCAAATTCTGAAAGCTAGGAACATTCTGGAAATGTCAAAAATTTCAAAAAAGTTTGTTTTTTTTTCAAAACTTCAATTTTTCAGATCCAAGACTTCTGGAACGATGCCAAGTTGAAAATTCAGAATTCAGAAGACGTGACATCGTCTCCAGATGACATCATCGAAATGGAAACCCGAAAATGTCCGATTTGTGGTGATGAAGTGGAAACTGGCGGAGGACGTCTTCTAGAGTTTCTGAATCGCCACGTGGATGAATGTATTCTGAAAATGAGTCAAGAAGACGTCGAAACGCCAGACTTGATATGTATTTCGGTGGAGAAAAATACAGAGAAGAATAAGAAGAGAAATTTGAATTTTCAAAAATCTCAAAATTCAAATTTGGCGCCGCCTAAAAAGCGAAAAATCCAAGAGAAGAATCAGATGGGGACGACGAAGAAAGTGGCGACAATCGACTCGTTTTGGAAGAAAAAGAATTGAAGATTTTGATTTTTTTTTTCAGAATTTTGCGATTTTTGAAAATTTTCAAAACTTCGAAAAATTCAAAAAATCAAATTTTTTGATTTTATTATTTCTGTAAATTCTTACTGTAATACTCATTTATGTTTCCCTGTGAATGTCTCAACTTATTATCATGACTAATTTGAATAAATTTGCCCGATTTTTTTCAAATTTCAATTTTTTGAATTCAAGTCGAAATATCGATTTTCAAGTATTTTTCTGTTTAAAATTTGTCTGAAAATCTAGAAATTTTTTCCAGAAATTTCAAAAAATGCTGGAAATTCCAAAACTAGAGGAACCAGACGACGATGGTTATGGGATTGGTACTGAGAATTATTTTGAATTTTCCAAAAAAAAAAATCAATTTCAGATTGTTCAAGAATTTCGAATTTTGAAATTACAAAGTTCGAGGAACCAGATGGACATCCGGACACACAGACAGACATTCCCATTTTTTCAGTTTCCAACGAAATTTTGAATGATAATTTGAGGACTTTTCCAAAGAAACCTGAAAAAAGAAGACGGAACGATACGGATAATGATGGTGAAGAAGAGGAGGATGGAATAGGTAAAGACTTTTAGAGCGGACATCTGGACACACAGATTTTTTTCAACTTTTTGAGATTTGGGAATGTCAGGTTTTTTCGGTTTTTTTACAGTTATTTTCAGAGTTTTTGAGATCCAATTTTTTTTAAAAATTTTAGATACTCTTGTTCAGCATTCCGTAAAACCTGTAATAGAAGGGCCCTCACACTGTCAACTTTAAGACAATTTATCTCGGTTCCTGTAAAAGATATCAAAACTGTGTCAACTAATAAAATATTGGTAATATTATGATAAACAATTTATCAGTTGACAAATTTGTGATAACCTTCACAGGAATCGAGATATATGGGCTAAAAGTTGGAAGTTAGAGAGCCCTTTTATTACAGGTTTTACAGTTATTATATTTTTCCAGAATATTCCAAGCCACCAAGAAAATCATCCAGAAAATACGATGAATGGCTTGACGCTGTGATATCCAGGAAAGCCCAGGAATACAGAGAATTGGATACTAAGGAGAAGATGTTGGCTGCCTATCCAGGAGGGGCTTGTGAGTTTTATCTGAAATTAAAAAAAAAATTTTTTTAAGTAATTTTGAGAAATTTAAGATTATTCCTGGAAAAGCTCAAAAATTGGTTGAACTTAGAAATTTCAAAATCCAAGAAAAATTTCAGAAAAAAAATCGATTTTTCTAAAATTTCAGTGAAACAAGATCCCAAAAATTGGACTTCCAAAGAAGCCAAAAGACATGAGAATTTTTTGGAAAATCAAAAATTCGACTTATCGAGAAGAGGAATAGTGTTGGTTTCCAAGTTGTGCAAGTCTGAATGTAAGCTTTTCGCTAAAAATTCTGAAAAAAATTGGGAAATCTTTTTGTCTAAAATCCAGAATTTTGGATTCTAAAAACACTAATTTTAGTATATTTCCACAGATTTTCACAACAAATTCTCACTTTTCAGTGACAGAAAGTGAAGTAAATCGTCTTGAAACATTGTCAAATTCCACATTTACAATCTACGATGTTCCCGGTCGTGGTGGCTTCTATAAGATTGAAATCAAAGGAAGTACTGGACCAGAAGACGTCAGGAAGGCGTGCGACGTTATTGACGCATTTTGTTGGCACACAATAGAGGAGAATTTTCGAAAATTCGGAGTACAACAAGAATATTGGTGTCACATTCCAGAAAAAGTTCAGCGGAGTCGAGATTTTAAGGAGAAGATGCTAGGATTGATTGTGCGATTTTTGTCTTTCATATTTTTGGTTTTTGATCCAAATTAGGAAAAAGCGATTATTAGAATTGATTTGTTAATTTTGAGTTTTGAGTCAAATTTTGAAATTTTCAATTTTTAGAGTCAAATTTGAAAATATTTGATTTTCAGAGTCGAATTTCAAAAAATTGATTTTTCGAGCCAAATTTTGAAATTTTCGATTTTTTGAGTCAAATTTTAATTCTCTTTACTGAGGTTTCTACAATTGAAATTTTATATTTAAAGTAATTAATTTCACCGCATTGCAAGTACGCTCGAACGCTAATATACGGTAAATTAGCTCAAAAACTTCAAAAGTCCCAACAATTCTTCTCGAACCCTTAAAAATGTCTTCTAAACAACAACAAATTCTTTAAAAATCCAAAAAAAATTCTTCAAAAAATCCGAAATCCAAAAATAAATCTTCAAAAATCCCAAAAAGTTCTATAAAAGTTCTTAAAAATTTTTCCAAAAAATTCCTCAAACATTCCAAAAAATTCTTCAAAATCCCAACAAATTCTTTAAAAATCCCGAAAAATTCCACAAAAAATTTCAAAATTTCCTAAAAATTCTTTCAAAAATCCCAAAAAATTCCAGATGAAAACTGGTGTCCGCTGTCTGACCTACCGTAAAAGCTGGTCTCAACACAACGACCCAATTCACTTCTACGGCTACCCAGACATGCTGAAAAACGCGAAAAACGCATTGGACAAAATAGTTTCCGATTTTTACCATCAAAAAATCTACAAAATCGAAGCGAAATTTGTTGGAGAAGTAATGGGAAAACAGGAGTTAATCTGAAAGAAATTCAACGGGAAACGAATACAAATATTAAAATTTCAAATGAAATCGCTAAAGAAGGGACTCGAGACGTCGTGATTCGTGGTGATGAGCAATGTGTTGAGAAGGCGTGGATGTGGATTCTGAAGATTATTGAGAAGAGAAAGAAAGAAGAAAAGGAGAAAGAAGACGTCAAGAAATTCGAATTTTCCGCCAATCCTTTTGTTACCGAAGAAATAGAAATTCCACTTTTCTACGTCCCCAGAATCCTTGGAAAACGGGGATCAAAAATTCGACAGATTCATGAGGCATCTGGCGCCAGTTTGTTTTTTGAAGAATTTGAATTCAAGGGACACAAGACTCTGAAAATCTCCGGGACCCAACAAAAATACGTGGATCGAGCGGTTCGGGAAGTTGAAGACGTGATGAGACGGTGTGAGAAATATGAGAGAGGACGATGATTGTGCTTCATTGATCAGCTTTAATTTGTTTTAAATATTTTATTTGCCTTGTCTTGTCAATAAATATGTTTTTGAAAAAAAAATAATTTTTTGATTTCAAGAATTTTCCAATTCCAGGGGATCAAGGAACACTATCAAGATTCAGAATACTGAAAATTCTAAAAATACCAAGAATCGAAAATTTTGGAACATTCGAAAAACGGTTATTCTGGAATTTTCGAAAATTCTGAAAATTCTGGACATTCTGAAAATATCGAAAAATCTGTAATTTTCAAGACCGAAAAGTTTGGAAATTGAATATTGAAAAGTTTAGAATTCTGGAAAAACTGAAAATATCGTGAATTGTCAAAATTCCAATTATTCTGGAATTTTTGAAACTACGAAAAATTTAAAAATTCTTAAATTGTAAAAATTCAAAAATTTAAAAAGTTTCAAAAAATTATAAATTTTTGATTTTGAAAATCATGAAAATTTGAAATTTCGAAATTTCTGAAAAGTTTTGAAAATTGGAACTTCTGGAAATTCCTGATACTGAAAATTCGGAAAATCTCTAAAGTTGAAAGTTTTGGAAAATTCGAAAAAAAAATAAATTCTGAAATTTTGGAAAGTTCTGGAAATTACGAAGAGTTAAAACTTTGAAAACTGAAAATTTTGAAAAATTCTGAAAATTCATTTTTTTTTCATTTTTTGGAGTCAAAATTCTTCCTCAACGATTTTCTATATACATTTTTCCCTCAATTTCCATCCAAAATTTCACACATTTATCGCTTTAAAAATCAAATTGTTGAAAGAGTCTCCCGATTCGCTCTCTCTGTCTCCATTTTAATTAATTGTGTTGCGGCAAATTGGACACCTCTTTCTTGCCTCTTCTCATCTTCTTATCCGCCTCAATCTATTTTTCCTCATCCGTTTGACACAATTAAAATACCTATTTGTGCGATATGGATACATCTCGGGCGGTACGTGTGAAGAGGATGGATTCACATTAGGAGCGATGAATTCAGAAGAAAATGATGGTATCTTCTGAAATCTCATGTGGATTCTTCGAATCCTTGGGAGTGATGGAACAACTTAAATAACTCCAAAGGAGCCTTAAAGGAATCTTGAAGGAACCTCAAAGGAAGCTTAAAGAATACCTTAAAGGTGGTGTACGGTGAAATTTTTTATTGCATCAAAATGTGCAGAAATGCATGTAGATTGACATAAAAATAAAGAAAAAATTCAAAAAAAATTCCTTCATCGAGAAAAACGCATCGAAAAATACGCTGAAAGCCCTTAGGGACGAGCTTTTTTCTAGGCCGCCCGGTGAGTAAAAGCGCGCGAATTCAAACTTTTAAGGTTTTTTCGCTCGCTCTCACTTTTTTTTTCGGTTTTTTCAAGATTATTCAAGGTTTTTGTCATGTTTTCTTCCAGATACATCGGAAAATTTACTCACCAGGCGGCCTAGAAAAAAAGCTCGTCCCTAAGGGCTTTCAGCGTGTTTTTCGATGCGTTTTTCTCGATGAAGGAAGTTTTTTTTTGAATTTTTTCTTTATTTTTATGTCAATCTACATGCATTTCTGCACATTTTGATGCAATAAAAAAATTCACCGTACACCACCTTTAAGGGAACATTTTAAAAAATCTCAAAGAGGCCTCGAATGAACCTTAAAGGAACCTTAAAGGTGGGGGGACAGGAGATTTTACGGGGGATTTTTGGGGCCATAGTATGCATTCTACCGTGACGGTGTACAACGCTTAATGTCACTCTGCGTACAGCTGTCTTCCTCGCCTTTATGTATGCAATCGGGCGACCGCTTTCTCTTTGCCCGTGTAGCTCAGTCGGTAGCGGCGCCGCACCCTCAATCCTCGTCCCACACGTTCAACTCCTCGAGAGGCATATTTAAACGAAATTTCGAGAACATTATTTTTTTCATGTCCCCCCACCTTTAAAGAAATTTTAAAGGATCCTGAAAGAACCCCTAAAAGAACCTTCAAGGAACGTTAAAGAAACTTTAACGCAACTCTAAAGCTTGAAGAACCCATAAGAACCTTTGTGGATCCTTGAAGTAATCTTAAAGGAACATTATATAAGAGGGGGAACTCAACACAATTTTTGGGATTGGAGTACGCATTGCTGACGTGATGGTGTCCAGTAATCGGTGTTCACATTATTCCATGTGGCCACAGTACCTCTATTAGTGGGTACCATGATATTTCGACGGTGTAGCTTTCATACATTAAAATGGCTCCCCCCCCCCCTGCTTTAGAACAGTCGGAATTGCCAAAAAATGTACAAATTTTGGAATCCAGATTCTCCGAAATTCAAAAAGTTCAAAATGACCACATCTCCTTCGTTGGATGTTATATAATTGATGAGCGTTTGAAGAAAGATACATATTGTATTTGAGCTTGCGCAATGTTTATATTAGGATGAGCAATATGGGCATGAAGTCTAGTGGCAATCCGGAAATGACACGAGACTCTCGTGTCGAGAGGAATAGTACTAGTTCATATAAGCATATATTGACAGATTTAGGGGGAAACACAAAGATTACTGTAGATTTTGACTTTCAAAATGAGAAGCTGACATTTTTAGGTCGAAATGAGTCTGTGTAGGAGGGCTTTTTGGCTTAAAATTGACATTTTCAAATTTTCATGACACTGAAGTTGAGATTTTAAAGACCACGATTTCGGAATTTCCCAGAATTTCGATTTCTGAAAAGTGTACTTTTGAAAATTGGGGAAAAAGGTTTTTCAGTAAGTACAGTATTCCTGGAAAATTCAGGTGCCTGGAGCAAGGACTTAGGCTTATCCGATTTGGTCGAAATTTTGTGAGCATGCTAAACAAAACTGGAGCTTCATTTTTGCAGTTGACAACTTTTCTGGAAAACTCCATCTGGAAGAGTTACGCCAAAAGCAGCGCGCGATGGCTCAGGCTTAAGCCTTCTTGCGCCACGTGGCATACTTCATCAGGCATCAATTTTACAAAAAAGTTGTCAACTGCGAAAATGAAGCTCTGTTTTTGTTTGAGACACTCCAAAATTTTCAGAACTATTGGACAGGTTTAAAGTTGTTTTGTAACCGTACAAAACAATAGATTCTGAATGATGAGAAAATTTTGAGAGGAATTTAAGGACCCATTTCCTTATCCCTAAAATGTTTTCTTCATGCCAATTCTCTCCGGTTGTCCTCGCCCTCATACATATTATCTATCTTACAATATCTTGTCGTTTTCCTCATCATCATCTAGTAAATGAATGATGAATAACGGTTACGTATCCTTCTTCTCACCCAGTTGCGCAACCTTCTCAATGTCTTCTTGGCCCTGTCTTCCTTGGTTCTTATTTATTGCCATAACATTGACTGTTTTATGTGTGCATTTTCAATAGATTTACAGCCCCGATGCGCGAAAAAGTGTTGACTGGTTCAGGATGGGCTTATCAGGAAGGTGTTATTCTTCGGGGTTAGATAAAGACTATCTGATTGTGAGGCTCGGGATCCTCGAAAATACCTAAAACTGCAAAAATGGGTATGAAAACTACTTCCCAATTCTCTTTAACAAAATCAAAATAGGTGTCCACCCAAGTGGAATTGAACCTGTGACCTCTTGAATGGCAAGCAAAACTGCAACCCGCATATTGGATATTGGTTAAAAGCGGCAAGGCGTATAGGAAGGAGTGGGAAAGCGGTGATGGCACAGAGCATGGCAAGGCATCAAAAATCAAAGGAAGTTGAAAACACTGAAAACACAAATTTCCACAGAAAAGGATGGATTACTGTACTTTTGCCTCATCTACCTCCTCCTCTTTTGTCATACCACCCCGATTAATTGAAAAGATGCGCCAATTTGTGTGTACAAGGTAACCCTTCTCTTCCTCCTTTCCTCTCTCTCTCTATCAAAACTAATTAAGGGAGGGAAAAGAGAGAAGTGACTTCTTCTTCAAAATGTTGAATACTCTCTAAACGAAATAGTGCACAGAAGCTGGAGAGACTTCTCTAACCTTACAGATCTAATCTCGCCCGCGCGGGGGCTCGACATGTCTGGGTCTCTCCAACTTCCGCACTATTTCAGATTTCTTTTTTCTTCATCAAAGAAGACGACAAAAGTGTTGAAATGCCCAATTTCAGATGGCAATCTATCTATATTGCCTTTCTCCAATTACACTTTCCTCCCCTCTTTTTTTGTTTTACCGCGTTTTCTGCTTGGTTGGAGATAGGTAGGTAATTTTTCAGTTTAATTTTTTGTTGTTTTTTGGTATCATATGACTGGGTTACGGTAGCTCATGACATTACTGTACTTTTTCATTCATTCAAAATTTGGTTTTTCTCTTCCAAGGCTTCCCACAAAGTTGCGGCAATCCCCCTTTTCTATACGCACTCTAGAGCGATGTTCCACCGGTGCAGTCATGTCCGAGTGGTTAAGGAGTTTGACTCGAAATCAAATGGGCTCTGCCCGCGTAGGTTCGAATCCTGCTGACTGCGAACTTTTGCTTTTTTTCATGGCATGATTTTTGGGTTTCTAGGTCATTTTGATATATTTTTGAACTTTTCTTTTAGTTTGCATTAGAGAAAACTGGATTTTAGGCTTTCTAGTCCCCCTTGGAAAGTTGTCAAGACATCAAATTAAGCAAAAGGGGGGAAGGGACACCGCTCATCGGATAAAGAGCCCAATTTTAATTTTAAAGTAAGTTACGCGGGCTCAATTACATGTCAAGATGACACGCGCAATTAGTTGGGTGTCTTTTGCGGTAAGGGAGGAAATTCAGTGCCAAAAGGGACGGGGGGACTAGGATTTGAAAATAGGGGGAAGCTAGGCCACCATTTGAAAGCTAGGCCATGAAAGCAGGTTTGAAGTTTTATCAGCCTCTGAAAGACAGCTTGGAACTAATTTTAATGTTAATTTTTCGAAAGTAAGACTTTGAGATTCTTGGATTGTGAGATTCTGAAACACCGTGATTCTGAGACTCCAAAGTTTTAAATGGTTTCAAATTCTAATCCCCAAACTTCGAAAATGCTGAAATTCCAAGTTTCCATGATCAAAGGCTCATTCAACTTTTGAGTTTCCAACAATTTCAGAACCTTTTCAGAATAATTCTTATATTTCAAAAAAACGTTTTTTTTTTCAAACTTTCTTATACTAACATGCCCTAACCTTCTTTCTGCAAATCTTACATAACATTTAATTTTGGACCATCTTACGTAATCCATACCCCTCTCATCCATCATCAACTGTTCCTATTGCTCATCCCCTAATTTCGTGTTTTTCCTACTGTAGCCCAGCTTATTTGGATATGTTATTTCTAATTAAATCTCCTCATCTTCGTCATCTTTTTGCTTTGCTTGTCATCCCCACACAACCCGTAATTAGGTGTGAAAAGGGGCGGAGCCAAAAGAGGGGCGGAGCTTCGGCGGCACGATTGGAGCGCGCCGCCCTTGATGACCCCCGCTCGGTCCCGTTCACTTTTGATGATGATCAGTTAGAAAACCTAGTTTTTGTGTTACTTCATGGTCCAAACCAATTTCTAAAATTGTTTAATTTTAACGAATTTGTTACTTTTGAAATCCCCAAATAAGGTACAAAGAATAGTCCAATTTTTTTGAAACTTTCGAACTAGACTAAACAATCTAAGAGCTTAATTTTCCTAGTAGACATCTTTTCTGTGCAAGTGCTCCTTGAGCTGGTATGCCAAAATAGCAGTAAGGAGGAGGTGGAGCTATGACATGCGCGAGCTCCTTCTTTCCACGTGGCATATCTCTTCGGGATGGAATTTTCCAAAAAAGTTGTCAACTACAAAAATCAAGATCTAGGTTTGTTTGATCTAGTCTGAAAGTTTCGAAAAAACCGGAAAAGTTTGAATGTATTTTTAGAATCGATGAATTTTCGGTTTAAAATTGATAAAAATTGTTTTTGGCATTTTTTTCAGATTTCTTCTTTCTTAGAGTTCAGTTTTTTTCAATTTCAGACACCTTTTGAAATTACAGCTTGCTTATGTTTCTTTTTGTCTTTCAGTTTTTATTCTCTTCTCATTTCTCTCAACTCATCCTCAAATTGTGTTTCCCATATCTAAATTTTTACAGAATTTCCAAAAATAAACCATGATTCTAAAATTCGGAATTGATCAAATACTCGCCTCCACATTCCCATGCGTTTCCCCACCATCACCAACCATCTCGACACCAGCAACATCGCCATCAAGCATTTCTCCCACTTTTGCGTCCCCAAATTCGGTTAACAACATGTTCCCAGCATGGGTGTTTTGTACGAGATATTCAGATCGACCATCAGCAGGTAGGTTACGAAATATATGTCAATTTGTATAGAGCGGAAAAATTGCGATGTTTTAAGCCCAAAATTGTAAAAATCGGGTCAAAACTCGCTGAGATATAGAATTTTGAAAATTTCGAGTCACTCTTTTAGGACCGCCGAAATTCTAAATGCCATAACTCATCTAATTTTTAGCTTTTCGAAAAATTCAAAAAGTTTTAAACTGGTTCATAGAGTGCTTCAAAATTTAGGACCCCGCCACCGAAAGCCACGGAAACGAGAATCCACAGGATCCAGTGGAAGTTCGGAAGAGGAGAAGCGACCAAGGACGGCGTTCACATCGGAACAGTTGGATAGGCTGAAGCAGGAATTCAGGGATAACAGGTATCTAGAAATCTGGATCTTCATTTTCTGAAAATTCGATTTTCAGATACCTCACCGAGAAGCGAAGACAAGAGCTGGCTCACGAGTTAGGGCTCAATGAGTCTCAAATTAAAATTTGGTTCCAGGTGAGCTATCTAGATAACCGTTTGTCTATTTTGTCGGTATACTTGTCTCTTTGGGAACAAATAATAATGGAAAAGAAATACTAGATAAGGGACCACTACCTATTATTGTTCCCGACAAAGGGACCATGTAATTGTGGGGTGTTAGGAAAAGGGAGTAATAAGGATGAGCGATTAGTGTTAGATTACACACTATGATAAGGGGGAATATGTTTGGACGACGAGATGTACGAGGAGTTGTAAAGATAAAAGGGATAAGGAGGTCATGGTAGATCATGACAAGTTAGTGGAAGGTGAGAGATATTTGATCTACCGCATACTTATATTGATAGGATATAGGCAATCCGTTTTTCGTGCATTGTCAAAATTTAACTTGTGTGTGAAGAATCTTCTTGGTGACCTTATCGGTTGGAGGCTACCGTATACTTACCAAAGCCCACCCTATATGTGCACTTTGAGCTCATTTACCTCGGTTCCTATAAAAGATATCAAAACGTTTCAACTTATAAAACGTTGATCATATTATGATAAACATTTTATCAGTTGATAAATTTTTGATATCTTTTATAGGAATTGAGATAAGTTGTCTCAAAGTTGGAAGTGGTGTGTGGTTGCAGCTCATGCCGCCAGAGGAGCTGCAGCTCTAAATGGCTACCAACTTTGAACTCATTTATCTCGGTCTCTTAAGAGATACATAAAATCTGTTAACTGTTAAAATGTTGGTAATATTATGATAAATATTTTATCATTTTAGCATTTTTTGAAACTTCTCACAGGAACTGAGATAATTGAGCTCAAAGTGCACGTATAGAGTAGGTTCTATCAGATCATCTACGGTAGACCTTTCTTAACTTGGCTGGTTTTCAAAATTTTTCAAAAATTCATATAGTTTTGAACTTGGCTTGTTAAGACATTTAAAATAAATATGATCATGTGTGGTTTTTGCAAAAGACCATTGTTACAAATTTTTGCTTTAAAGGCGCATAGGATTACCAAAGCTCCTAGCTCCCAATCATAAAAAAAATTCCCTTTAAATTTGAAAGTTTTCCATCTTCAATGTTCCCTTGAGATTTTTGAGATTCCAATATTTCGAATACTTCAAAATCCCTAACATTTCAGATACCAGATATCCTGAATGATTTCCAGAACTTTCGAAAGTTTCAAAATTCTCTAGAATATTAGACTTTTAGATTTCCAAAAGTTTGAATCTAAGGTTTCCAGAAAATTCTCGAAATCTGAAAATTTGAATTTTTAAATATTTTGTTTTTCTGAGACTCAGGTTTTATGCATTCTCCAGAATCTCAGAATCTCGTTTTTCCCAAATGTTCAAAACTTCATACCTTCAAACATACCAGTTCCGGTTTCCTCGTGTCTTAAAATTCAAAACCCATAAGATTGATGACTCTCCAAAGCGCGAAAAATTCAAATTCTCTGAGAACATTGGAACTTTTCTTCCTTCCCATTACTATCCAAATGTTTGTCTTTGTCTCACGACACATGCCGAAAAAGAGAGTGTCATTTTGATTAATTACCCCTTTTTTCTAGGTACAGTATTCTCCCCGGTTTAGTTCCTAAACTGGAACCTTATTCGCCATTTCAAACCATTCAAATTTCCTTCAACCTTGACAAAATTTAAAGATTCCCCAGATCAGATAGTGTCGTCTCGAATTAGAGGGACGGGAATACTCTTAATAAGACGTTGGTTTGTTACGGAATGTATTAGAAAGGGGTAATTATCTGATAGGCGGCACACAAAATTATCCGCGCGGTCTCTAATTATGTAATCAGAACATGTCGGTGGTCCCTGTGACACTCAGGAGAGATACCAAGAGATAAGGAAATTTTGGAATTTTGATGTTTTAGATTTTTCGGGATTTGAATGTTCTCGTAGCTTCGAAGACTATAAGATTCTGAAGGATTCTGATATTTTCCAACTCTGAGATTCTGAAAATTTTTGAGATTCTGACGGTTATGAGTTTCTAATAAGCAGTCTTGATGGTTCTGAAATATTCTGAATGCCTAGGTTTCTGAGATTCTGAGATTCTGAGATTCTGAGATTCTGAGATTCTGAGATTCTGAGATTCTGAGATTCTGAGATTCTGAGATTCTGAGATTCTGAGATTCTGAGATTCTGAGATTCTGAGATTCTGAGATTCTGAGATTCTGAGATTTTGAGATTCTGAGATGAGTTTATTTTCTCAATATCTACAGCAACAATTAGCTACAGTAGCCTTTTTGGATTTTTTTTTGAAAGTTCCAAAAATTCAAAAACTCCTCCTCCTTCTCACTTGAGTTGGAGGTCTTTTTTGTCGCGCTCAATTGGGTAATTAGTCTCCAAAAAACACGTTTTTTGTCTGTCATGTCACACCAACTGTCAATGAGTTTTTGTTTCAAGTCAAAGGGGCTTCGGCACGCGACACTGACGGCTACTAAAAAAAAGATTAAAATCTGAGACGAATCGGAAATTTTATGGTCGAAATGAAGAGAAGACGATGTGACAGGACCAGGTGGACAAAAATGAGAAGAAACATTTAAATTTGAAGGAGGGAACACTATTTGAAAAAAATGCGATGGCCTAGGATCCCAAATTTTGTGAAAACTAGGCCACAATGTGATTCATTAGAACGCTCTTGTTTTGACAATTCCAAACCAGCACATTTTCAAAATTTTGATTTTGCAGCGAGTTATGTCAATTTTAGTGGGATGGTCTAGTAATCCAAAACTAGACCACATTTTTCCAAATTCGAAATTGTCATAACTCGCTTCAAAATCAATATTTTTGAAACCTAAAAATTGATTTAGAACCATCTAAACTTGTCTTTTGCATTTGTATACAGAATGGCCCAGTTTTTCATGATTTTGGATTTCTAGGCCATCATCTTGAAATGGTCATAATTAGCTTCAAAATCTAGATTATTGGAATCTAAACATGTATTTGAAACCGTCAGATTAAAACTTTTTTTTCAAAATTTTCAACTTTCAGAACAAACGTGCCAAGCTGAAAAAGACCACCGGCGACCATCACCATCGCTCCGCCCCCACTCCAAATAACCAATTCCAGATAATGGCTCAGCTAGCTCAATCACAAACCCACCATTTTAGACAGTAACAGTAATCTCCCATGAAATTTCTAATACAGTAATCATCCAAAAATACAGTATCCCGGTTCTCATGTGTTTAGTGATTGTTATAGTTTCCTTAGTCTTTTTTTTGTGCTGGCCTGGGTATTTTCTAGGCCACCATTTTTCTTTTCTGTACCTCTATTTTGTTCTTCCAGATCTTCTATATGTTTTACCTCAAAATTATTTTGTTCTCCAAATACTTAATTTTTTTGTCATGACTTGATTTTTTTTCTCCACTTTTTGAATATGTTTTTCTGCCAAATAAAATGTGATTTTTTATTAAATTTTGAAAAAAAAAACGAAGAAAAATCAAGTAAAGGTTGGGATTATTCATTCACGAACCGGGCGAAGGACCTGAAAAGCATGAATCCTAAAGATCATGATTCAGAAATAAATGGCTTACTGTAAAACTGCAAACCAGGTTCTTATCCACATTCATCATTGCAGCGGCATTATCAAACTCTCCACAATAATGTGGTGCCGAGAATATAGTGACAAGTCTCTTGTTGCAAAAAAACTCATAACCGTCCTGAACAACCTGATGAGCTCTGACAATCAACTGAACGCCCAGACGATCGATAACCTCCAGAAGAGCGCTTTCTCCGAAGACGTGACCAACGCCACGTGTGTTATTCACGAATCCTTGGATATTTTGCTCGGGATCCGACCATAGGATGTCAGTTTCTAGGGATGGGTTAGGTACTTCTAGAACTGGTCTAGGGAGACGACGGAGTTGATCGAGAGACGTCATTTTCTTGCTGATTCCACCATGCATGCATAGGATTCGCGAGGAGACGAGAGAGGTGTATGGCATGCAGGCAAAGCAGTTCTGGAAGAGGAAAACGTGGAGCCAATATATATCGGCTCCTGATAAAGATATCAAAAAGTTATCAATTAACAAAATGTTTACCATAATATCAGAAATATTTTGTCAGTTGACCACTTTCCAGTATCTCTCACAGGAACCGAGATAAATATATTTGTGTCAGGTTGACCCTCACGTTCGTTTCTCACCTAGAAGCGCACAGGAGAGCGCAAAGCGGCCGGCCGCCGGCGGCTTCTGATGGCTGTCCACTTTGAACCCATGTATCTCAATTCCTGTAAACGATATCAAAAAGTAGCTAACAAATAAAATGTAGGTGATATTATGATAAACATTTTATCAGTTGACTACGTTTTAATAACTTTCACAAGAAGTTAGATATACGAGATCAAAGTTAACAGTTTTCAATTTCACAGTATGTCCCTAGTTTAACTTGTGGAAGGGCTCCTACCTGAAACGAATTCCAAAGTGTCATTCCAGTTTTTGACCCATACTTCCGACTGACTTCATCCAGGAACCCATAAACTCGATTAATAGTTCCACACTCATGATTCCCGCGCAGCATGAAAAAGTTATTGGGAAATTTGACTTTGTATGCAATGAACAGTGTGACGACTTCTAAACTTTGCGGTCCCCGATCCACGTAATCACCCAGAAATAGATAATTGACGAGTGGTGGGAAGCATCCACGATCGAACATTCTGAGGACATCTGAGAATTGTCCGTGAACGTCTCCACAGATTTTCACGGGCGCCTCGATTTCTACCATCGCTCCTTGCCTCATGTAAATGTACCTAAAAGGTCCTAACTACCCTTAATTACTCCTAATTAAATCACTTGGCCTTATCTAAAAGAACCATAACCGTCTTCGACGGAATCAACGCTTCAAAGGAGCTTCCAGCGGACCCGATATTCAATATTTTCACGATCACCTCGTCAACCAGAGGATCATCTGAAATTACAGGATTACTGTAGTTTCAGCAAGTTACTGTAATTTCAACTCACTCGAATTCTTGCTTTCGTTACCCCACAAAAACATTTTTAATTTAAAAAAGTGTTTTTTTGAAAAAAAAATTATTTGAAATTCCAGAACATTTTCAGCCCTAGATCCTAGGGACAGGTCCAGGCTAGTTCAGTAGTTATTTTTTCCTTAATTTTGACTAGCTTGTTTATATTTTGAGAAACTTGGTTTGTTTATTCTGAAGACATCAACTCCCATGACTTCCGTATGCAGGATTCGTCTCCGTGTGTCTAACATCCTATAGTCCATACTTGCGACCGGGCCCTTCGCGGGACTTGCCATAGTTTATTTCAGAAACAATATTTTCAGATCAACTAACTTCGACATGATAGAACTCTGCGAAATGATGCTATTTGAAGAACTGTGTTTTGTCTACGAACAAAGTTACAAATCATAAAGTGTCCGGGCCTCGCCGCGTCGGCCCGGGCCGGGCCTGGTCTCTGTTTTTCGCCTGTAACGTTGTTCATAAACAAGACACAATTCTTTAAAGGTGGGGGGACATGAAAAAAATAATGTTCTCGAAATTTCGTTTAAATATGCCCCTCGAGGAGTTGAACTTGTTGGGGCGATGATTGAGGGTGCGGCGCCGCTACCGACTGAGCTACACGGGCAAAGAGAAAGCGGTCGCCCGATTGCATACTGTGTGTACAATAAAATCTGGGCAAGGGGCGGCGCTTACGCGACACGCCCCTTTATGCAACAGTGGCGCACACTTTTTCGGGTATATTTTTGCGCACGCACCTCTCTGCGTTTTCCCTGGCAAAATGTTTTTAATATTTTTATGATTGTTTTATCAATTGACCACTTTATCATATCTTTCAATGTCAACGAAATATATCGGCTCAAAGATACACTATATATTTTTTAGAATGAACGATGAGTATCCACTGATTAACAACAAAGTGGATGAAAGAGCCCAATATCGTGAATACAAAAAAGTTTTTGTACTTTATGTTTTGGATGGCGCGGATATACATGTGGTCGAAACAGGATTGTTTCGAGAATCAGGATCTCGGTGAGTGGAAACCTAGTTGTTGCCGCCTAGAAGATGGAAACGTTGATATCAAATCTAGTCTTGATATTCATTTTCAGAAGCGATTCATAGTTTGCTCACTGGTCTTATGGTTACTGCTTGTGAGTCGGAAAGACACATTAATAAGACAAATGGGATTGATCAGTTCCGGAAGATGCATAAATTCTATTTCATTATATTCTTTCTAAACTTGTATTTCGATTTACGTCGTCTCAATTGGCACGAAAAAACCTTTTCGACATCCCATCCTCATTCACGCCTGTTCGCAATCAGAATGGTGTCAGTATCAATACGTTCTACGTTAGGAGCGTATGCTGGACCGCACGAGAGATTGCTGTGTGAGTTGCCTGGTAATCTGTGCTTGTTCATAGTTTCTAATTTTCAGAGTATGACGAAGACGTTGGAGGAGCTGTTGGCGGATTAATTGGATTTCTAATTCCCGAATTCATACCAATGGAAAACCTGAAATAAGATTTTTGGGTATCTTGTTGAGTTCCATAGATCATATTGTCTTAATAAATCAGAGTTATGGAATTATTTCTATGATTTTGACATAAGCAGAATATTCGGCTGATGTGCCGTTATCAGCCGAGCTACGCGGTAACGACTCTTCAAACGTTTTGCTGTTTCCCTCCATTAACTCAAAAATTACCCAATATAATTATTTATTCAATTTCTCAGTACTTGTTTTAACCAGCAAGATTGACATTTTGAAAAGACGAAAAAGTTAAGGGAAGAGAGTATTCTGTTTAGTATAAAATCAATTTCATGACTGCATGACTTCGTTCGCGATATCTCCTGCGATTCCTCCTCCGACCCCACCAAAAACTCCCCCAACGATTCCACCGACCAATGTGCCGACTCCCGGGAAGAACATCGTTCCGACAGCAGCGCCTGTAAAATGAAAAATCGTCTGCTAATGTTTAGCTTAATCTTTTTTACCTGCACTGGCTCCACAGTACCCTCCAGCATTGGTTGCCACAATGCTGACCACCTTCTTCTTTGCTTCTGTTGTATGTCCTTTCATCAAATCATTTGCAACATCTACCGCGTCCACAGCAACCGATACAGCCATTGCCACAGGGGCCACTTTGTTAACAACATGCAATGCTTTGCCAGTAAGTCCTGCAGCTTGCGCAGTGGCTCCAGAAATCCGGATATGGGGATCCTTGACTCCCGTGATTGCCTTGTTCACATTGATATGATGATAAGGAACGTTTCCATGAGGCATGTCGATTCTCGCATACCATTTTGGGTTTCCAAGGGTACTGATATGATTCTTATCAAAGATGTTCAAGATATTTGAAGATCTTCCACCAACTTGAACGACATAGTTGGCAGCGTTACGGGCGGCTCCAACGGTTCCACCGGAAACCATATTCCAGTGGTCTCCAATTTTTTCCTTCAATGTTTTCCCGTTGTCTTGACTTTTCTCGTAGAGTTTAGCAGCATTTTCATTCACAAAGCTCTCCAATTTCGAACCTTCATAGTGCTTTTGGATTTTCTCCGCTGAAGTTTTTTCGATTTTCAAAAGAATTTCGAGTAAAATTTGCTCTATTGATAACAATGTCATCTTCTATCACTTCTTCTGAAATATTAAAAATTGAACAAATTTACCGTATTCTCCAATTTTCTCCTTCAATGTTTTCCCGTTGTCTTGACTTTTCTCGTAGAGTTTAGCAGCATTTTCATTCACAAAGCTCTCCAATTTCGAACCTTCATAGTGCTTTTGGATTTTCTCCGCTGAAGTTTTTTCGATTTTCAAAAGAATTTCGAGTAAAATTTGCTCTATTGATAACAATGTCATCTTCTATCACTTCTTCTGAAATATTAAAAATTGAACAAATTTACCGTATTCTCCAATTTTCTCCTTCAATGTTTTCCCGTTGTCTTGACTTTTCTCGTAGAGTTTAGCAGCATTTTCATTCACAAAGCTCTCCAATTTCGAACCTTCATAGTGCTTTTGGATTTTCTCCGCTGAAGTTTTTTCGATTTTCAAAAGAATTTCGAGTAAAATTTGCTCTATTGATAACAATGTCATCTTCTATCACTTCTTCTGAAATATTAAAAATTGAACAAATTTACCGTATTCTCCAATTTTCTCCTTCAATGTTTTCCCGTTTTCTTGACTTTTCTCGTAGAGTTTAGCAGCATTTTCATTCACAAAGCTCTCCCATTTCGAACCTTCATAGTGCTTTTGGACTTTCTCCGCTGAAGTTTTTTCGATTTTCAAAAGAATTTCGAGTAAAATTTGCTCTATTGATAACAATGTCATCTTCTATCACTTCTTCTGAAATATTAAAAATTGAACAAATTTACCGTATTCTCCAATTTTCTCCTTCAATGTTTTCCCGTTTTCTTGACTTTTCTCGTAGAGTTTAGCAGCATTTTCATTCACAAAGCTCTCCAATTTCGAACCTTCATAGTGCTTTTGGACTTTCTCCGCTGAAGTTTTTTCGATTTTCAAAAGAATTTCGAGTAAAATTTGCTCTATTGACAACACTGTCATCTTCTATCACTTCTTCTGAAATATTAAGACACAATTTCTGAGAAACTCGAAAACACCATGACAATGGAAAAATTTAAAATGGTCCTATGAGTCTGCTATTGTATGTGGTGGGTATGGGGGCTACTCTAAGACTTTTGTCCATAGTACCCATAGGCCACGCCCCTTCTGGGCGCGAAATGTTACCGTAACCCCAAAAACAATTTTTGTTCAAAATGATGATATCTTCTAAAAAAATTGAAAAAATTTATACCGTATTCTACAATTTTTTCCTTCAATGTTTTCCCGTTGTCTTGACTTTTCTCGTAGAGTTTAGCAGCATTTTCATTCACAAAGCTCTCCCATTTCGAACCTTCATATTGCTTCTGGACTTCCTCCGCTGTAATTTTTTTTTCGATTTTTTAAAGAAGTTTGAATCAAACTTTCTTTATTCAAATTAAAATCCTACCATATCCGGTCACTGTTTTTTGAAATTTCTCAGAATATCCGGGAAGATGTTCCGAAATTTCACGGAATGTAGAATACAAAGAATCTAGCCAGTATGAGTCTTCTTTTTTGCAGTTTGAGATCTGAAACGTTGGCGGGAATTTGAATTTTTTCGAATACAAATTGCGAAAGTTTAAAAATCTTACCGGAACCAAAAAGGCCAATATCAGAAAAATGAGGATCCGATGTTTAGAAGAGGTTCCCATTCTGAAATTTTGTACTATTTTCAAATTTTAGAGTTTTTAATCAGAAAAATTGAAGAAAAAATAACAGAGTTTTGGATTTCGAAAGTTCTGAAAAGGTAAGAAGACGTTGCATTAACATCAAGAGCCCGAAAACAAAAATAGAGCGAATTTGCTGGAAATTCTGAAAATTATGTTTTCCCAACATATGTACAACTTCCAAATATTTTAGATCAAAAAACGCACCTGTCGAAAAATGGGATTATCTTGTGTGTAGTTTGGAAATCTCACGCCTACCCAGGTAGCGCATGACACCGGAAATCAACTGGATATTTGAAAAATAAGGCTATTTTGTTCACATGCCTCTCTAAGCAAACGTCGCATTGCTCGGTCTTAACTCTCACATTGCTCACTCTTAGTTCTTACATTGCTCACTCTTAATGCTCAATTCATTATAAATAGGAGACTCGCGAGTACCGAACACGGCAGTTTATATTTTTTTTTGTTCCGACTATTTATTTTATATATCCTTCATACAGTTTTCGAAAACGTTTCGAAAACGACCTCCCGTTTTGGTTGAGCTCTTTTGCATACTTGCGATCTTGTTTTTGCCGGGCCTCCGCAGGATATGTCATAGTTTCTTTTAGAATCAATATTTTGAGACCAACTAATTTGATATGATAGAACTCGACAAGTGCTATTATTGTTGTCCGAAAAAATTGGAGTTAGAGAGTATTTTTTGCAGTCTGATTACGGTATGCACCTCGAAGCGGCAAGCCTAAATAACACATACTCGGTGGAGACGCAGAGGAATTTTTTGTTCGACTGTCTGCGTCTCGACTCCAATTTTTCGCACAACAATAATACAAAATGATATAATTCAAATAATTGTGTCGTGTCTATGAACACAGTTACAGGCAAAAAAAAAACAAAGACCCGACCCTGCCCGGTCGACTCGGCAAGGCCCGGCCACTTTATGACTTGTAGCTTTGTTCATAGACAACATACAGTATTCCAAATGGTATACTTTTGTAGTACTCGTCGAGCTCTATCATATCCGATTTAGTTGATATGAAAATATTGTTTCTGAAAGAAACTATGGCAATGCCGCGAAGGGCCCGGCAAAGGCCCGGTTGCAAGTATGCTCTTTTCACTTATAAAGTTTCAATAATTTAATCTAAATTTAAGACAACAAATTATGTTGGAATATCTCTCTGGAACTATGGACGCCTCCTACCACTTATTGGGTCATGCTGGTGAAAGTGTGTCGAGTATCTCTCAATATATCGACCCTTTCTGGAGTTCATCGACTCTTTCTGGAGGTCTCACTGGTGCCATCGTAGGATGCTACCAGAACTCGCTCAACTATGTCGTTCAAGTTGGTGGAAGATCTTCAAATATCTTGAACATCTTTGATAAGAATCATATCAGTACCCTTGGAAACCCAAAATGGTATGCGAGAATCGACATGCCTCATGGAAACGTTCCTTATCATCATATCAATGTGAACAAGGCAATCACGGGAGTCAAGGATCCCCATATCCGGATTTCGGAGCCACTGCGCAAGCTGCAGGAGCAACCGGACGAGTGTTTGGCTATCTTAACAAAATCGGTCCAGCGGCGAATGCATTGTATATTGCTAAAACTGGTTATGATGTTGGGAAATTATACATAACTGGAAATGTAGCAGGAGCAGTCGTGCTCGCTACCAAGGAAGTAACAAGCTACTATATGAAATCATGTGGTGCAAGTGCAGGTACGGTATCATTGGGTACTATATAATTTCCCCCAATTTTCATTTTCCCAGGTGCCGCTGCCAAGGATTCTGTGGTCTTTCCCCGGAAGTTGGAAACGCTGGCGAGGTACAATTTTGGGAGGCGTTCTCGCAGGAATGGGCTCCGACTCATTCATAGACTTCATTGACAAAAAAGCTTTTTGA